ACAGTGCGGCAAAATGCTATCCTTGATCCAGCTCGCAGAGGTGATAAACAGCACAACAGGGAACATATACAGCAAGTAAGGTGTTACAGAACACAACTCTGAGAACAGGCACGACAACTCTGAGAGTAAATTAATCAACATTGTGATCAGCGACTATTAAACCAATATGATGAATGCTCATAACAAATTTGCCTTAACAAGCTCTGGTCAGATCTGTCATTATCTCAACCCTTTGTGCCCCACGTTGGGCACCAAAAAGGACTGTCACGGTTTAACCCGGCAGGCCGCTGAACACCACACAGCCATTCGCTCACTCCCCCCCGGTGGGATGGGGGAGAGAATCGGAAAAAAGGTAAAAATTGAGATAAAGACAATTTAATAGGACAGAAAAGGAAGGTAAAATAAGAATAATGATAAAAGAATACACAGAACAAGTGATGCACAATGCAGTTGCTCACCACCCGCTGACCAATGCCCAGCCAGTTCCTGAGCAGCGGCCGTGCCCCCCCCCGGCCAACTCCCCCCATTTTTTTGTTCAGCATCACATCATATGGTATGGAACATCCCTTTGGCCAGTTGGGGTCAGCTGTCCTGGCTGTGCCCCCTCCCAGCTTCTTGTGCACCTCCAGCGTCCTCACTGGCAGGGCAGCATGGGAAGCTGAAAAGTCCTTGCCTAGCGTAAGCACTGCTCAGTAACAACTAAAACATTGGTGTGTTATCATCAACACTATTATCCTAAATCCAAAACACAGCACTATACCAGCTACTAGGAAGAAAATTAACTCTATCCCAGCCGAAACCAGGACAAAAGGTCTTAAATGTGAGAAGAAGTTTGATATAGTTTCTCTGAATGATGAAAAGCCACCAGTTATGGAAGCAGCCTCTGACTTGGAAGATCATCCATTTTCCAGTACCTTGTAACAAACTGTATTTTCATAGATGCCAATCAGCCACAACTAGATAAATTCAGGTGTGGGCAGCACTCTGGAAAAAGGGACTTAGAAGTGTCTTAAAATGCAGAGACTAAACTTCAGTACTGAGGCATCTCAAGATCAGCTGCTCAGAGATTATTTACTAGCTTAAACTGTATAGTAACTGCCATAATTTAAACCTCTTTG